TCTATCTATCTATCTATCTATCTATCTATCTATCTATCTATCTATCTATCTATCTATCTATCTATCCATCTGATATCCCAATACTACTAAAGCAGTTTTTATGTTAAATGTGAATTGTATTATGTTTTCACCACTTTTAATGTTCTTCATTCCTTTACATCTGGTGCTCTTTTTTCTTTATTTGAAGTATTTCTTTTAACATCCATGCAGAGCAAGTCTGTTGTTGATGAATTCTTTAATCTTTTTCATGTCTTTAGGATTTTTTAATTTTGTGCTCATGTTGAAGGAATGTTTTGGGGGGGCATAGCTTTCTAGGTCAACAGTTATTTCAATATTAAAACAAAGTCAGAGGGTCACTGTTATTGTTGTTTCTTGGTATATAATTTCTTTCTTTTACTCTCTGGACATTTCAGAATTTCAAGTTTGATTATGATGTGCTTTAGCATGATTTTGTTCATGTTTCTTACGCTTGGGATTTTTAAATTTTACGTTCTGGGCATCTGTGGGTTATACTTTATATCTGATTTCCTACTTATTTATCTTCAACTTCATTGATTCTTTTACAATTTCTAGTCAATCTTCAGTGTTAACCAATGCACCTTTTTACCTAGGCTTAAACTTGATTTGGGTCTTTCCCCATAGCTACTTCATTTGAGCTGTAGACATTGTCATTTGAAACTCTCTGGTTGATTCCTTGACTTACTATAGTTTCCCAGATCACAAGCAATATGCTAAATAACTATGGAAGACTGTCTTCAGATCTTAAGATCTCTGGGTCTGCATGTATTTATTTTCTCTTATCCCTTGCATAGCAAATTCTAGGTCTGGAGGTAGCAAACTATGAAAATTTGGGACTCTATGGGCCTTATGGTTTCTACACTATTACTCAACTTGTGGTTCTTGTTTAAAAGTGGCCACAAACAATAGATAAAAGAAAAAGTGTGGTTGTCATTTTATAAAATTTAATTTAGAATACTTCATGGTAGTTTATTGACAGTTGTGCTTCCTTCATGTTACTGGACTCTTAGCTGGGGCCTTTAAATTCAGAGCCCTGTGTATTCACTGCCTTTTCCTGCATTGGAATACAGCCTAGAAACCCTTTGAAGGTAGTAAATTGAGGGAACTATAAAGCTTGACTCATTTGTTTCCCAGTAACCCCCGAATGACTAGTGACTAGTGTTAAGAACACAAAATATGGAGTGTTTAACATATTGCATCTTAATGTCAGGTAAGAATTCTGAGAGTTTCCGGCAGGTTTCCCACTCCCAGCAGTCACCCTTTTTGCCACATATATAGAACTTTGTTTATTGACTAACAGTGCATTTATTAAGATTATAAATATGGAAGGGCGATAGGGATTTCGTGCTAAACATCCTGCTCTCGGACTCTCTTGTCCTAAGACAAATCTTTTTCCCATTCCTATTTAAGTCACTCTTTGTGTACTATTATTATACTTTCCGGAGTTTGTATAAATTTGCCTCACTTGATTGACAGATCCAAATGACAGATCCAAATACAACCAAAGAATACAGATTTGATAAGTGTGAGCTTTACATTAGAAGTCTTCTCCTTCTATCAAATAGCATTTCTTTGTATTAGATAATGTGATTTTAAAATCTAAGCTGTTTCTATGTCTCTGCACTCATTGCAAATAAGCAATTAATACAGAATTAGATACCTATTAACTATACATTTTTACCTATTAAAATACAGCTACAGTAACATCTCACAAGATAAGAGAATATATTAATTTATAACTGTCTTAGAAAGCAGATAATATAGTCAAATCACATAATCAAAAGAGGTACTCCAATATTATGTTACTGAATCTATTATTTAGAAAATGTACCCTTCTGAGTAAGAAATAAAGATGCGAAAAATATTAACTTCAGCGTAATGTTTTATACTTTTTAAAAGGGACACTGGCATCGGCATCATGTCATTGATCACAATAAAATCCTTATGAGAAAAAGAATTATTATTGGTATTTTATATTTATCAAGTTATTGAGAGGTAGTTCAGATTGGAACACTGGTCATTTCTTCCTGATCCCAATTCCATTCCATCTGGAATTCAGAAAGTCTCACTGAAATAAATTGTATAGAAATCGCATGACTACTTTCCTTCAAATGTTCCTAATTCTTTTCCATTCCAACTCTGCAATATCCCACAGGTTTGCCCTGTTTCCTCTGTAATACAGACATATATAAAACCATCCTTTCTTATTCCGCCTCACTAAGCCTTTGCAGCTCCGAACCTCCTATTAGAACACTGCAGAATGATCTTTCTAAAATACAGTTCTCACAGTGTCATTCCAATGCCTGAAAATGTTTGTAGATTTGATACTGCCTACAGTGGTAGCCTCATTTTATTTTACTTATCTATTAAGCACCATCCAAATTAGAGAATTAATTCACTGAGAAGAAACTTAAAATTCACATTCAAATCATAAGTGGCTAACACATGTAAGTCACTCAACAAATACATGCTGGAACAATCAGTGATTCAATTATCTGAACTAGCAAGACTGCCAACTATTTGTTATGATTTGGACTTTAATAACTTTTAGAGCAAAGTCAATAAATTTTCTGTGTTTCCAGTATAACAGTTAAAACATTATAAGCATGAAATAAAATGGCTTTGGAAATATTTTTTACATATTTGTGTAACACAGGCTGGTAAACTAAAATACATTAGTAGCCCGTCATTTTTGATTTTCAGGAAATTTCATAAAAACATACAGGGCTCAGAGTCATTGATTTAAATTAGGGACCCAGTCAATTCTACAAAATGGGAAAAAAATTTTAATTCTATACATGTAAATTAGGTAATAAATACTAACTTGTCTCTTCAAGGCTCCCCTACTAAACAGGCTGTTTCTACTTCAATATACATTTCCTCATTAAGGAAAAAAAGAACCTGAATCAATCTCCACAAATGTTAGAGATTAGTTATGAACATAAACAAACAAACATAAGCACAATGGAGGGGTGATTATCACTTCATTATTGTACAAAAAAATTCTACAAAAAGACATACCTGATGAGATAACATTCACAGTGAAATGTGTATTTGCTTTTTTTTTTTTAAGTCAGAAATAGATAACAAATTTTAGGAAACTTGTTCTAGCAGCCTCATTTTCAAAAAATAAACTTTTTAATCCACCAGATATTCCCCCTTCAATTGCAAGGGGGGGCAGGAAACATGAACAGTCCAGGCAGACTTAAAGTGCACTATACTGACGGCTTAAACTTCCATTACATATCTTACTTGCTTCAGTGTGATTATTCATAGCCTATGACCTATGAACCAGTAGTAATATGCATGGTTGAATGAGAAGTCAGCATTTTAAGATTAAATCTCAAAATACTGTACGGAAGGAAAACAATGAATACTACTTACGGCCAGCAAGCAGGAACTGATAATACTGTACTGCATCTGCAGCGAGGAGCAGAGGGTGATTTGCATTAAATGGTGGTTGCAATTCATTCCACTGAGGAGTTCTAAGGAAACAGCAGAAGAATATTAATATTTAAGCTTAATAGATGGGATATAAATCACCATCACTGTCACCACTTATAGACTTTGATAAAACCTCACACTGTCTTCGTAATCATTAAAATGAACTTGTTGGAGAGCTGAAGCCTGAAACACAAGGCCGTCTGCTTATAAAGAATAAAAAGGTGGTAATGAGTCATACAAATTATATAGAGTCAACATCAATTTAGTAGCAGAAGACACTCTATTGGGATAGACTGACATTCACGACATTGGACAGAGAAGAATAGTAGAATTATTATTATCACAATTGAGGTGTTCTAATTTTACCTACTTTCTGACAATATTTTGACCTCTCTAGTCTTACAATATGTGAATTATTTTAAAATAAATTATCAAACAAGAAAACTGATTTGAAAAGCTCAGTCATGTTAATAGTTGACTTATTCTAGATCTAATTAACATCCGAGAGTCAAAATAAGTCACTTATTTAAACAATGAGGGTTTTGTAATTTTTATTAGATCTGCCCATCCCTAAATAGCTTGATAAATAAGATATTGATCACATCAATCCAGTGCAGCAAAGTAGAGGTAAAGAATGTTGGAGCCTCTAAAAATCAATATAAGAATATTTTAAAATGTCAAAAGGAAAGGGATCATTTTCATATCCATTTTTGTCTCTTTCCTTCATACATGTCAAGCCCAATTTTTTTTTTAACTATTTTACACTCTACTGAACAGGTTTAATTCTTCATGCTAGCTGAAAAAGACGTTAATGAATACGACATTGTGAGATTTCTGGTTTCCTGTATTAGCTTAGTCTATAATACAGTTTTATCATGTTCACAAGTTCTATATTCTCTTGTTACTTTTTTATTGTGGTTACACTGGTTACAACACTGTATGTGACTTAGCGTCACAGGTTCAGCCCTGTGGATCAGATGCACGTCAGCACACCGCTACATCCCGCATCCACTGTCCTCTGCCACAGGGACTTCACATTTCTTCCATACTTAACCATTATATGCTAGGAAGTGTTCTACCAACCTATTCGGATGAGTTTCCATTCCCCTAAATGACTTTCAATATTATTTTCACCCAGCATGACACTGGAAATAGGGGAGCACTATAGCTCTAATGTGGAATAGAAAAAAAAACCTATGTTTCAGAAAATGTAACGTAAACAGGCAAGAAATAAAGCAGTTCAAAAGAGAGCTGTTCTCCAAGGTAAATGAAAGACAAATGAAAACGTATGACCATACAAAAAATGTACTCACAAATGTTTTTAGCAGCATAGTTCATGACAGCTAAAAAGGAGAAAAGCTGACAAACTGATGGAAGAGATACACAAAGTGTGCTATATCCATGCAATGGAATAATATTCAACCAGAAGAAGAAGTGGGGATGTATGCCACTACATGGATGGTCCTTAAAAACATAGTATGAAGTCACATTCTTTGATTTCCATTCATGGGATATGTACAGAATAAGCCTGTAGCAACTGGTACATAAAGCAGATAGGGAGAAGAAAAATGGACAATGACTGCTAGCAAGTATGGGATTGCTTGTGGGTGATGAAAATGTTGATAACTGGAGCACATCCTAAGGAAAACTCATGTTAAATAGGTGTATTGCATCATGTCAAAATAATTGTTTTGAGCAAAAACAGAGAGGAATCAAAATGATTTTGCCAGGTAAAAGATGAACAAAAAGTTTATACTCACTGATGCCATTTATATAAAATCCTAGAAATTATAAACTAACCTATGGTGACACAGCAGACCCACAGATGCTCACCGAGTGAAGATATACTAGGATGATGGATGTTTATTACTGTGCTTATGATGGTGATGGGTTCACAGCAGTAGACATATGTTAAAACGGACCAAATTGTATGCTTTTAATATTTTATACCTCAATAAAGCTAAAAAAGAGAAATCAGAGGAAGACCTACCTAACCAAAGTCCAGCTGGCTCGAGGTGAGGTCACCATTTCCAGCGGGGTGTCATCGCTAATCTTGGGAGCAGTGCTGAGTGGCCGTGGCTCCATCATGTGTTCCACTAAGGTCCCATAGCAGCTAATAATGTAGAGAGACTCAACTACAACTTGTTTGGACTGATCTACAAAAAGAAAAACAGAGTCTGAATGTGTAATAATGGCAGAAAAGAAACAAAGCATAACAGCACAAGTTATTGACCCTGTCATCCTGCTAGAAGGCTGCTGAGAGGAAATAAGACCTGGTACAGCTTCCTTGCATAAAAGCTGCCCTTTGTATGTAGAAAGATAAACCTCTAAATTATCAAAAAAAAAAATTAGTAACATCATTTTGTGCTGTTTTCTGTCTCAGCTGTAATCCCCGTGGGCTTCCCGTCGCCATGTGCCATCACCATAGTCCACTGTGTATCGCTCCTCCCATCATTTTTGATCCCACTCCCCATTTCACCCCCATAAAATGTCTCTGGTATATAGTTGTTCCTCATTATTATTATTTTCTCTCTTGGTCCTTTATACTTCTGCTATAAGTTAAACTATCAAAATTTCTTTTTCCTTTTTTTAAAGATGTATTTATTTTTGCTTACAGAACTGGGGTACAGGCCAGAGGTGTGGGGTGGTGAGAGGATTCAACAGAGTGGGGAACAGAACAGACAGATCAACGAAGTACACTGCTGAGGGGAGCAGCGGGCGGGTCAGGAGAGGTCTGCCACGCCATGTGGGTCACCTCCAGGGCAGGCGGGAATCAAACTCATGCAGAAGTGGCTTTAGCTTCTTAGTGCTGTGCTTTACCAGCTGCGCCACCAGTGAGGGCCCCCCCCGAAAATTTTTTTTAATCTTAAACTGATTTACTGAATGATGGAATTATTTTCAAAAGTCTAATACAGTGAAATACCATTGTATAGTCTTTCATACTTTTCTGTAATTTGTCCCATATTATGAAAAATGAATGATAACAGGAAAGGCCTATATGGACTAAGACATGATAAACCTACTCACTTATCTGAGAGACTAGTTTAATTCATCTACTTTATCTTAGAAAACTTCTCCTTTAATTCCTTGCTTAACCAGTGACACTTCAATAAAAAATTACTTAAATCAAACAAATGAAAAACACACTTGCACTTCTACCCCAAATCCTCTTACTTTTTAACTTCTGAAGGGACCTCTGTCAACCATGGTAAATACAGACCATCATATTCTGAGGTCAGGTACTGAGAATGGAGCTAATCAAGCAGTATACAGAGCATACACGTTCTCACTACTAACCTACATTAATTTACAGGACTTTAGTTTTACAGTAGAGCAAGAACCTACATTAATTTACAGGACTTTAGTTTTACAGTAGAGCAAGAAGCATATAATCACCCGTGAGTGCTGGGTGGGTCACTTATCTCTTTGCTAAAGGAATCAATTACAGCTGATTTGAGAAAATGGCTAATGACCAGTCAGTGGGATATAAAGGAGTAGCAAGTTAAAAGGGTAATTAGAACAGATGAGAAAAGGATTTGAAATTGAGCTCCACAGAGGGTTTTAACTAGTACAAAAAGTCATTTTGATATCATTGTTTAGCTTTCACAATGTCACAAAAAAAAAATAAAGATGGGATAAGAAAATGGAAGACTTGAATGCCTTATCCTCACCCACTTAGGTAAGGAACCTGCTGTGCCAAAGATCCTATTTCCAAGAAAAGGATCACTGAAAGGTGATAACAGGGGAAGAGCTGATGACTAGCTGCCAGTATTAAGGGGAAAGGGGAGACATGTTGCCAAGCACAACACAACCTACAGAGGGCCTCAAAGAAGTGCCTTGCTAACAACTCAGTTTGTGACCTACTTTAGTAATGCTAAAAAAAAAAAGGGGGGGGGGGGGGAGGGCGGGGAATCTTACATTCATAATGAAATCATTTGTCTATGAATTTAGACATTCTATTCTGCACAGAAACTCACACACTAAAACAGTAATTACATAAACATTTATATTCTGATTATGGTGATCACGTAGGGGTTAAGAAATGTATACATAAATTCAAAGGATCAATGGTTACCACAAAAGATGATCCTTATTTCTGGGGGTGAATCTGTTTTTATCTTTTAATTAACATCATGGCAGTGTTCATTTGTGGCAACAGAGATGCAGCTAGAAGGGCTGATGCTAAGTGAAATAATTCAGAATGAAAAAGATAAATATCAATGGTTTCACTTATATGTGGATTTGAGAAAAATTAAATAAAGAGTCAAAGAAAAACCTTGAAAGCTGTCCGTAGATATGAGGCATTCCTGAGGGGAGGGATGAGAGGAAGGGGTCTGAAGGGGAGGGTGGAAGAGGGTAACAGCACAAGGTAATATGGTACTGGGCTTTGATGCTGGATAAACTATGGTGACCACACCTGGGGACAGAAATCATACTGTCCAAAGTATCATGGCAGTGTGGCTGTTTTACCATTTATTATCAAAAATCTGGGTTCAAACTCTGAAATCACACCTAGCTAGTGCATCTAGCTGAAATATTTCTTTCATCTTTTTTTTTTTAAATCTCAAGTTCTTTTTCTCTAAGTAGAGATAACAGGGTTTTTCTTCCCCATGCCCCAGAGACAATATAAAAGCTACATCTAATGCTACAGAAATGGCAGCATTGAGAAGACCTGCATAGTGTCAATAACAACAACCCCCTCCCCCAAAAGCAAAAATACTCAATGGTCATTTAATTCCAATTTACATTGAAACAAAACATTTCCTTTTTATGCTTGAACAAATTAAGGAGAAACATGCTAACTAAATGAGGAGATTTGGGAGTTAAGAGCACTGATGAGGAGCTGTTATAAATTTTCCTGAAGAACAAAAATTACAAATTGCAAGGTTAAGATTCAGTCAAAATACTTACCCTTTTCTCTCTTCAGACCTGCATTATTTGCAAACCATGATCTGGATGTCCCAAAAATGGCAGCCACGCAAAATTCTCCGCCCATGGATTTACTGGGTGAAATTTGTGGAGGTGGTTTAACTTTGCTTTAAAAATTAAAATAATAGTAAAAAAATTACCATGCTGAAATCACAGTCTGTGAGACGATGACAAATTTTCCTTTAAATCCCAATCTTACATATTCAAGCCCTCCAATGTGAACATGCATTTTGATTTAAATAATAAACAGTGATTTGAAGTGTGGTAAGAGTAAAATTAGTTCCAAGTTATAGCGTGTTATCAGAAAAGCAACTTCTTAGAACAATAAAAATTAACTCCTGATAAAATCCAACTCCCTTCTTTGTGGATAAATAACACTTCCCTGGATATTTCAAAGTAGGAATAGAACCAAATTAAACATCACACAACAATAAAATATTTTATCATTTCACTTTGACATATATAATGTTGGCTTGAAAAAACAGTTGAGCGGAGACAGCATGTATGATGTAAATGAAACCCAGAAAAACCTCAGACACAATGTAGAATTAGACAATGTATAGGGTGATCTAATGAAATCATATTCACTAATATGCCTATGTATCATTTATTTTTCAAAACTTATTTATGATAAATAATTATGTCTAATTTTTGTTGAGAAAATATCATAGCAGAGATAAATATCAAAAGCCTCTAAAAGATAAATATCTTTAGTTTCTCATGTTTGGGAACATATTTGGTACCACTGCAACTTCAAATAACTAATTTAAAAAAAACTTTCCTCATATTTTCCCTGAAAGTGAGCTTTCAATTTTTAATATGAAGACTTCACATTCTTTCTGATCCTGTATTTTAATCTTCTCTTTAGGTTTATGAAAGGTAGTTTCTCTAGTTTATAGACAGATAGTACCCTCACTCACTCTACAGGAATATTACAGCTCATCAGAGCCACAAGTTCTGTTCTGCTACAGCGTTAAGTAATTTTATTTTTACTTTTATTTGTCCTCCTTTATCTCTGGATCTTTGAAAAAGGCTTGGTTGGATGGAGAAAGATTGCTTTCTGGAGTCTGTAAGAAACCTGAATCTGAATCCCAATGCTGCCACTATTAGCTGTGTGATAGTGGTTCAGTTACTTAATCTCTCTGAGATCAGAATACTAATATGTGGGGATTATTCTGTTTGTTCTCAAAGCATGCTCCCTGGCCAGTAGGCATAACTGAGCACTTCTTAGACATGCAAATATTCACCAGGTCACATCCCAGACCTTCTGAATCAGAAATTCTGCAATAGGGTCTGCTTTTTCATGGGCCAATAGAAGGTTCTGGTGCATGCTCAATGAAGTTTAAGAATGACTGTAAAATCTGATGAAGGGTGAATGGAACATACAAAAAAATTAGACTTGGCTTTGACAATCTCAGTTTCCATTCAGGTCCTTTATAATCCCTCAAATATTTCCTGAGCATTTTTTCCTCTGGAGGAAACAAAAAGTCCTGGTTAGAGATAACTGTAGTTGGTCTTTTTGGTCCCTCACTTAGGTAACAAAAAATACTAATGCATGCTGTCACACAGACATAAAAAAGCTTCTTCTGAACCATCATTAACATTTCTTAAACACTTCACATCATTCTCCTTAAAAATCATATCCAACCTAAAATAGCAACACCAGCCACAGACTCCCACTGCCAGCTCTTAATGTTTCTGTGAGGAAATAAAGTTTCTACAAACAGTTTCAACCCTTCCATGTTGTATGTGCTGCAGTGTAGCAACTAACAAAGAGAAAGAAAATCCCTCTCCACCTGCATCTGGATAGACCGTGAACCTTCCTCTGGTATCTCCCAATCAGCATCAACACTTTAACTTCTGTTCATGAGGGTCTCTACCACAGAATGTCAATTTTCCTTTAAAGTCTTTGTTTCCATTACTTCCTTAACATCACTAATCTGATCACCAGGGCAAATGCAAAGCTCTTTGCAAATCTATTTAATTCAAGTGGTAAGCAACAAGATGGCAAAATAAGGAGTCAGCCATAACTATGATGCAGCTAAATTATGCATCTAAAAAAGGCTTAAAAGTAGTTGCTACTGCCAGATAGCTACCTACACAGCATAATAACAAAGGAGAATATGATTGTGATAGGACATCAATTTAGTCTTTAGTGTTGTACAAAAGTATTCTTCATGTTTCCTCATGGTCCAGTCAACCAAAGTCGAAAGCTAAAAATTTCTAAAAATGTCTAGAGTGTTGCATCACTCATTTTCAGAACATAAAACTAAAAAGTATCACATATTATTTTTTTGCATTAACTCATCTTCTTCTGCAAAGAACACATTATCTCATGGTAAAATTATATGAAGAATTATTTGTATTCATATTCTCCCAATCTCTTATTTTTCCTTCAATAGGACCATAATAAATCAAATTAGTAGAAGTTTCTGTTTAGTAAATAATGGAGTTTACAATTCTGAAAATAACTTTCAATCTCTTACAAGACATAGTCTATTGAGCATGGAACATATTTGATGAACATAGTGCTAACAGGTTATTCTTACCATCAGTTTGTGTTTGCAATGACTATTGTGATAGTTAAACAAAATGGGAATATAATAATGTGTGTACTTTCAGACAAAAAGGAAAAGTCTTCTTAATAAAATATTACTATTTTATGTGATACTCTAAATAAGAGAAAACTTATCTTGGACTCAATCTGCCCTTCATACAAAATTTTAAAAGGAACAAGATAATGAGTGCTGGGAGAAACAGAATTTAACTTTTCTCCATTGACAATATTTCTACTACAAAACAACCTTTACAGGGAAGAAGGATAAAGCATTGAAAAATCGTACAGATGTGAATGGGATAAAAGAGAAAAAAGGCTAGCCTTGTAAAGTATTTTCACTTACAGATTAGTGACCCAATCCTTTTAGGAAAGCATTCCAATACAAACCATTTTCATTTCTTCCTCTGAACATCAACCTTAGCCTCTGAAAGGAACTTATAAAATCCCATTACAAACACTAGCACTCTTAAAAAGTGGTTTGGGGAGGTCTTCTCACATCTACGCACTTATGCATCAATGTAGTGATATAACAATTATATTTTTATGTTATGGGTGTATAGCAATTTCACTGTTGATTACAGTTACAAGTGAAGATAAAAGATACTGACAGGGCTGCTCTGCTCCTTCCTACTGAAACTGAGAAGTCGTATTCTTTACTCCCTTTTGCCCATGATAAACAATACCACATTCAAAAATTAAAAGTAGGGCTTATAAGCAAAATATAAAGGAAAACATGGAATGAACTGCAATTTCAAAATCGTAGGCAAATAATGAGCACAAAAGATCATATTTACTAAACTTGATACAAGAGAATAGTACAATAATCAAAAGTGAAACATACAATGAAACAAAAAGTAAACAAGATGTTATGTTTAAAAACCAGGACTTTATCTTGTAACTTCTATTGAGGAGACATAGTCATCTAAACATAGAATGGAATCAATTTTACTACCATTAGGACTTGTAGTGACATTAACATTAGGAGGTCTTCAAAAAATATTTTTAAAGAGTATTGAAGTTTCCCAATCTTCTCTCCATTGGCTTTAACTATATTATGTAATCCAATCACATCGACATATTGAATTTCTCTTGCCTGTTTTTTTATCCGTACTCTAAGGCACGGGAGGAAAAAAAAGTAAAACCCTAATGATAGCTGCTTTAAAACTATATGAAAACAATGTCAAGCTGGGTAAGCTGACTACGTACTCCTGAATAGGAAGTAAGTGGTTTAACTATGGATGACACAAAAATCAACAATAAAGTTCAGAGCCTTGTTTAGGACACAAGCATGGAAAGAGCTAAACTGAGATAGAAGCACCGTTTAATTTCTTTGCTAAAAGAAAAGTACAAACTTACAGTTCAAGTGTGTGATAAAACACTGATATAAAAATTACAGGCAGTATAACATTCTCCCCTTAAAATATTTTCACCATTTTAATACACTGTGAATAAAATTTAAAAGGAATTTAGAAGTCTCCTCTCACACAATTTTAATATCCTAAAGTAGCAACTAAAGAAAACCAAAGTACTTGATGAAAAAGAACTAAACATATCAGTAACATCTTAAATTATTCTACCACAAACTATTCTGAAAGATCTAATAAATCATGCAAATTTAGCAGATAAGATCCTCCACTCCATATAAATCTTATCCCAAAATAAAATTTAAAGTGTTTAAATATCATCAAAAGATTTGATTAAATGAGCTACTTATATAGATCAAATACTTTCAAGAGCTTCCTGGTTAAAATATAAATATAATTTGACATGTGAAATTACCATATTTAATACAAACAAGGTTATGAATAAGGAATATATTCAAATGGACTTCATAGCCATACTATTACACATATTCTTTCTATTTTGATAAACAAAAAAATTACAATAAACATTACACTGCATACACACTTAGGGCCTAATAAATTCTTGATTCTTCTAATACTGAAGACCAAATTCATTTTTTGAATTTATAATGGAATTATCTCTCTCATGTTGTATGTATAAAAATACTTCACATATATAATTCTTCCACATTACTTTACACAGGAATCCCAAGTCAAGTAACCTAGAGGATATAAAATACTGGAAATGCATAAAATGTTGAAGATAGCATGCATAGCTAACTTTCAAACACAAGTCTTATCAAAGAGAAAGACATCATTTTAAACTGACCTGGATTTAAACTGACTGCATAAATGTAGGAGCTAGACCAGTTCATAAAGAATGATGAATTATTAAAAATTAGGCTCTATCAAAAGCAAAATCTAAATGTAAATGCTGCAACTTGAATGTAATAAAATCTGTTTGAAATTTAGATTACATGTTAACAGGAACTGTAAAAATTTCATATTCACTTAAGATACATCTATTTTGTTACAACTGGCAATACTAAAAACACATTTATGGAGCAGAATGTTTTATTTCAGAACAGTAAATGAAAACATTCTCAGGTTGAATGTTAACTATCATGGAAAAATACAAAAACTTTTAAAACAAAGAAGCTCTTATAAACAACATGGAAGAAGTTGTCAAATTTATATTCATTTTGCTGCCTTAATTTGAGGTTTCATTAAGATCTTAATGGGAAAAACATGCACCACTAGTAAAGAAACATATTTTAAAGGAAGATCTTTTAGGTTAGCATAAGTGACTGAAAGCGAGTTTCTTGTGAGCTAACGATGGCATCAAACAAACCACAAAGCAGTCTTCTAAAAGACAGGCAATGATTTAAAAGTCTACTATATTTCATATATCCCTTTCTTTAATCTGGCTCTTTTAATCTTGTTTCAACCTCAAATCATTTCTGGTTGACAAGTGCTTTTGCTTAAATTTGAGGCGCACATAAGTTGTTGAAGGAATGAGCTTTTCTTATTTAACATACAACAGTTGTTGCTCCACCTTAACTCTATGCTAAAACTTCAATCTTTATTAACATACTAAAGCTCTCCTCTTTGTACTCAAAATGAGAAATTCATCCAAAAATGGAATTTAATTTTAAGGTTAGCCTACAAAGAAAACTTGTCATATGTTGAATCTGGTATTTTGAAACCCGACTGCTTATTATAAACTCCTATGTAAGATTCATGCATCTTACTTATTTTGTGAAGATTACTGGTTGACAAAGTAATAAAGATTTTTTTCCATGGAATTTTTACTCATTATACCACAAATATTTTAGAATATTTTCACAATCTGTGTGTTAATAACCTTTACGCTGGGTTGTATTCAGGAAATTTTTATGATTAATTTGTTACTCGTGTCCTATATGATAATGAAATTTTCAATGAGGCATATGAACAGTAAAGTTGGTTATGTCAATTTACAAAATTATTTAAACTTTATTTTAATTCAAAAGACAAAAGTGTAGTATGAACAACGTCCTATGGCAATTGTGATAGGTAGATATATAGATACAGGGCTCCTAAGTATCCTGACTAAATCTGGCTCACTATTAAAAGAAAAAAAAGAACTAATGCAAAGAAATTTCTTTTCAATAATGATTATTTTCCCTGTAAACAACATATAGTAATAGTAGCAACTAATATTCATTGAGCTTTTACTATATACACCAACTACTGTTCTGAGCAACTTATATTGTCAGTTCATTGAATCCTCAATGTGGGTCTACTGGTCTATTAACTATTTAATAATAAAAAAGTAAGATAATATTAGAAATAAATGTGTGAACAGTGATTTAAGACCCAGGCAACCTAAATTCTGGAGCCCTGACTCTTAACTATCATATAAAACATATTACACCAAGTTCTAAATATACCGTACTTCACATATGTACATAAAAGTACAGATTCTTTTCTATGTTCAGCATTTCTAATATTTTATACATTGTTATGTGAGAATTTGTTAGATAAGTTGTGGTAAATAGGTGCTAATAACTCAAAATAATGAATTTCCTCACTATGTCACTGCTTAAATAGCTGATCTTTTTAAAACAGAACTGTTTTGAATGAACTGTTGTTCCTTTGGGACCAAATAAAATGCAGTAAAAGTTTATAAGAAATTTCTGGTACACTTTAAATCAATTATATTTTAAAACAATTCATGCCTTCAAATGTTTAATTAGCAGGATATGTAGGGAGATTCTATCACCATAATACTCACAGCTTTAAATCTTTCATCTTATACATTAGCTTTATGAGAGAATTCTTCTAATTTTTTCAATATTAATCTGTGCTGATCTGCCATTTTAAGAAATAAAGTGAAACCAAACTAATTGTTCTTTTAAATCTTAAATATCGACATTCATGTCCCACCAACAAATTATCCACTAATTCGGTGCATCTATCTGTGATCAGGCCATGCAACTGAAAACAAAAGTACAAAACAGAGTCACTTTCTGAGAGTACAGCAAATGAATTAGGCATGCGGGACTGAACTGGGACTCACCATGGAGCTTTTATGGAAAAACACCCCGCTCCAAACAGATAAGGCCTTTATGGAAAAGGGGGGAAAATGCACAAAAAATTAGAGGAAAACTCATTTAACATTAACAGATACATGTCTATCATACTGTTATAAAGTATGGATCAAATAACTAAAAAAAACTGGCAATCATTTGCAATTCTGTTGAAGGCACAAATCTGATACAATCAATAAACAACAATGTATAAGAACAAGTCCTTTAATTTTCATAGGGCTAAAGATTTCAAAATATTCTTTCTCCCCCTTTTCTGGAGCACCCCTGTAGGGTTCTAAGGCAAAATAAAATATTTTTTGCTGCTGAGGCCCTTTAAAACAAAGTACAAGTTAAATGGAATAATCAGATGGAGACAAAGTGGGATCGAAGGCAACAGATGTGTGGTTGTGTAACATGAAATGTTTAAAATTACTTAAAGGTAACTCAACAAAAAATTGGTGTTGTTATTTGCCATTCGAAGAGTCAGCACCAGAGAAATAAACACATTTTCTATGCGGGTTATGGATGGTGAGCTAAACTGCATATTACTGGCCAAAGGAACAAACACTAAATACAAGTAGTATGCTGTTGTTTTTTTTTAATTATTATTATAGTTCACATTCCAAGGGACTCATTGGTATCTTAATAGTGATACAAGAGCATAACTTCCTCCACCTGGCCTTCAACAGGCTAGACTGGATTACAGTCGTCTAAAACCAAAACTTTTTGTGGTATATACAACTGCAGCTACAAAAATCAGAGTTCAATGTTACACATTTCTCTTAAAATTCTGTTTACAATACTGATGCATGCTATGCATACTTCCACACAAAGACTGACTGGTTTAATTAGACCCAAAACAAAATGCTGTGTGGTACCATCTGACATTTGCAGGGATGACTAACAAATTCAGATGAAAAACACTCTAGACAATTTGAATAGTTCTTCACCTTTGTGTTAGGGATATTACAAAAACTGTACTAATTAGCACATATCTCACAGTGTATTGAGTATTTGTCCACAAATTATAACTTAAGGGAAAAGTTTTCACAACACTGAGTAATTATGTGGCCTGAAACACAGAACATACACAGAAAGGAACATAGATGAGAGATACAAAGTATAAGAGTTAAAAGAATTGAGACATTAAAAATAAAAGAAAGAACTCTAGAGATGTTAATATAAAGCAGGGAAATCTCTCTCAGTTGGTGATTATATCACAACCAGGGACATGATGTCATCATTCAAATTTAAAATAATGGATTGTGTGCTTCTTCTATGAGCCACAGAAATTTAAAGGTACAAGCTTGTGGGTACATGGACATGCAAATCAGAACAGCACAAAATAAAAACAATTTGATACATGTTTTCTGTATATTATAAACTTTACTGTTTTCTATTCAACATTTTGAAAATGATAATGTTAGGATTTACTTGTCAGGATGAAAGATGAATGTTAGAATGAAAATGAATACATATTTTGACAAGGTAGGTCTGGGTAGGGCCTGAGTTCTATATTTGTAAGACTCTTGGGTAAAGCCAAAGGTTCTTATTTGCAAAATGTATATCAAAAACTTGTATTCAGTTGCATTAACAACAACAAAAAGTCACAATCCTATAAACTAATGTCAGGATTCACTAATCAGATCAGAAACAAAGTATTACTCACCCCATCCTTTGGCAAAAACTGAATAACTGAGACCACTTCAAGTCTTCAACCCCTCGAAAGTATTGGGATGCAATTTAGAAATGCTCAGTGAAGGGGAGGCTCGGTATGATGCTATGTGTCCACACTTACTTCTAAAATGGTAGGTAGTACCCAACTTCCTTGAACTTTAGCTACTGGACAGGACACTTGTGTTCAAAATGATTCTGACATAAGTACTCAGGATGTAAAACACCTAGGCTTGAGTTACTCTTCAGTGTCTTGTCTATCAACCAACTCCAATCTCATTTCATCTACACCTGATTTGTAAAGAATTATAAAACTTCTGCTGACCCCAAAACTAATGAAATAAAATAAAACATATCCTTAAAGCTTAAGAATTTCAAAAGAACAGCTGGTAATCCCCACCCATTAAGCCAAGAAATACTTTTTATCAGGCTTAGGTTTCCTTAGGTATAAAAAGGAACCATATACTAGCCACACAAATAAAACATAAACTTAGAGGGGGAAAAAAAACTCTTAGATTTTCCCTTCCAGGCAGTAGCAGAGTATTTTGTAGAAAAAGATATTCTCTGCCAATTTCCTAAAACGTACTGTTGACTTTCTAAACAGTGTAGTAAACAGGTCTGCACTAAATAACAGCACAGTCAAGTTTAAAGACAAGATAGATGCTATTATTCACAAAAGCAGCCAGTCAAAATTACTCTTCTCCAACCAAATGAGATCTACTGGTTAACACAGTTTAAGGAGAACACCTCGGGCCAGAGAAACAGGGTGAGGACCCACTTTATTATGTATACTTGGCATGTTTCCAATCTATATGCACCTACTTCTTGACTGCTCCCACAAACTGGAACTCTGCCACATACATGTAAAGACACAACTCCAAAGAATTAGAGAGACTGACGTAATTACTGACTTTGTATGGGTAGTGTCAGCTGTTCTTTTGAAATGTGCCTGCTTCATCTTTCCTCGGTAGCAAAAGAATGAAAATATAAAGTCACAAAGGACAAGTTCATGATCCAGCTGTCTTCACTTAGGACTTTCCCTCCCCCTCGTAAGCCCAACAGTTGCATAGGGGTGGTTAGGAAGAGGAAGAGAGTACGTGAGTGGAAATGTATGTTCAATTTAAATTGTCTGTATTAACACATGCAACTCAAATGATCATATTCAGATATTTAAAATTTTTAGTGTTTTCCAAACAATATGAAGTTTCAGTAGGTTTAATAATATTACTATAGAACACTTGATTCTGCCGTGCTTATGTCCTTTTAAAGTAAAATTCTGATGCAAAACATCAGGAAGGGTTAAAGAGACTAAAAATCCATAAATACCTATTACTTGAATGCTTATAATTGAGTATGGCCAAGGGTTTTCAAAGAGCTGCTTCTGAATATCCTCAGAAGACAATAATGATTGTGTTTTATATCCTATCAATTTTGCTATGCTAAGTCTACAAAAACACAAATTCACTTTGTTGAATGCCAACTAGAACCACAAAAACTTTGGTCTACTACTTGCAAACAAAACAAATGGGAAGATGCTTTAAACATAAAGAAAGTACAGAATTTAATTCTTACATGTTCAAATTGGCCATGGTCTATTCCCCAATTCTTCATGTCCTATGAGAACTTAGGTACTAGAGTTTCACTAACATCATAATAAGTCCATATAAATGTAAAAGGTACTGGAAAGAGAAATACTAAAGAAGGACTGTGAGACATGTGAAAAGTGTGACTAAAGCCATATTCCCTCTGCTGGCTCTTGGGAGCGCTGATGCTCTGCTATGCTTTGTGTACACCCGTGATGCAGCAACTGACATGGGCTCACCGTCACCACATGTATATCAGAAAAGTAATCCTCTTGTCAAGTGTTACTTTCAATTTTCCATCATTTTACTTTTAGCTGATTTCTATAAACATGATCAATAACATGTTGGCTCTCAAATTATGGTTCCGCAGGTCAACTTGATGTTGAAACAGGAAAAATGTCTAATTAGAGACATACACAACTTGCAAATTTAATCTAAAAACACAAAATTTTCATTAGAAAAACATAAATTCTGCCCAATGGAAGAAAGAGACTCACACAGCATCTTTTCATACTTCAGTAGAAATTAGGCTTGCTAATATTAGTTCATACAATAGGTACGTCATTAAAAAAAGAAAAGACACAGTAAAATGGAACAAACTATAGTGTGATTTAAGTATTCTACTGATTTAACACAAAAACTGGAAACACAAACTATGCGAATGAAATAACAGTCCATTATGTTTATGCCTAGAATCAAACATTTGTAGCTAAGCTATGAAGAATTAATAGCTAGATAAGACAGTGATGGCAAGTAAAAAATTACAGTCCACTATTGTATCTGCTGAGTTTCTCCAAATCTTTCCCATCATTTCTCAGAACGTTGCCTATAAGGTGGGAGGGTTATACCAAACTGTCCAAATAAGTGAAAACAGACTGAATTTAGCAGCAGAATTTAGTCTTTTCAAGGCCTATTTTACATATAAACATGTCAATGTCATTTATTCTGTAAGGTGTGAAACTGGTTGGGTCTCCGTGTTTCAAATGGAGGTGATCAATTACATGGTAATAAATGCTTCTATTTCTAAATGACACTGACCATCTGTTTGCCCTGTTTGCCAAGTGGAGTGTTTTGACTGCTTGTTTGTATCTGAATGAGGAACGTTGGTTTACAACACTGTCAGTGATCCTGACGCACCGGACCGTAACTCCCTAGGTCACGTCTGCAAACCACACACACCACCAATGCAACCACTGTCCTCCCATAGTTCACTGGGCCCCTTTGCTCTCCACCCTCCCATTCCTTCCCTGGTAACCTTAATTCTATAGTCAGAGTTCTAGTCTGTGTTAGGTTTTGATTGACACTTTTTTGTTTTGTTTCTTTATATTTTAAGTGAAGTTCTAGCTCATCACTGGCATAAGGCTCAAAATTGAGTGAGGCTTAGAAACTAAAATGAGGCAGCCACAAACATAGCAGGATCACATATACTTTAAAGTTGAAAGATTATAATCAGTACATAAAAATGTTTACTTTTTTTCAGATGAGTAAATTTAATCAGGACCCATTGCTAGTAAGTGGCGAAACTTCTATCTCAAGATAGAAGTGAGAACTACAGACTCCCAATTCAGTATTTGTTCAAAACCTTCCTAACTGCCATCTGTAGGATCATGACCTACTTCCCAACAGCTACTATTCTAGTTGTATACAAGAAATGAAAAAATATAAACATGAGGATGGGGAAAGTACATGTAGGGAGAGGAAGAAACTTCACTAAAAACAATCCACTACTTAAAAGCAATGGAGTAATTCATTAACTATTTGTGTATTTTTTATTTCCAGGAAATTACTATAACCACTTTTGAGAGTTACTGCTCTCTGCTTAAACCCACAAAATGATGTGCAAATATTAATTATTCTATAATTAGTGCACATAAAGTAAAGCTCAATGGTGGAAAGTATATATTATATATTTAAATAAATAATACATTATATATAAATATTATATGTAAGTATTTAAAAATATTAGGTATGATTCATTATTCAACCAAAACTCTAATCAAACACTCTAATGCTTAATAAATCCTACTATGAAAAATTGAACATTATAAAACAAAGTGTCAATCAATTAGTGCCCAGACTGAATTTTAAGAGGGACAGAACTATTTCTTGTGTACATGATAAAAGCATGACAACGCTCTTTCCCCATCTCCATGCACAGAAAATGGATTCTGATTGCTGACCCATATTCCTTTTACTTCATCAATGTATACTGTACTAGGGTTATGCAACAGCTGCTGCTAAAAAGGCCTTAGTTTCTTCCAAGTGTAGCTTCAAGGTATAGAACACAAAGGTGTAAATACATGTCAGTTGCCATTTATAGTTATACTTGCCACAAGCATGTCTCAAATAAAACAGATGGTCCCTGACTCTACACAGGTGTTCAGGGAAATCCATCCATACACACACATACACACATATTTATATATATACATATGTACATATATGCATATCTATGTGTGTATATATGTGACATATACAGTTCCACATGTGTGTATATGTATATATTTATATTTATACATATATCTCAATGTGGCCATTGAAATATAAGATCCAGGGCAATCCTTAGACTTATTTTATGTCTGAATGCCAAAAAATGTTGGACATGAAACAACTAAGTGTGAATTTATCCTAAGTAAATAAGTTTACTATATATGTTACCAGGTATATCAGAGTTAGAAAATTTATGTCTATAAGTAAATCAGCTATGTGTGCTCCTTCTACATAATCTATATCAAGTATGTTTTGTAAAGTGTATATTTGAAATGCTGGAAAAGGCATACAATAAAATCTGACTAGAAAAAAATTACAACTTAATGAAAAGACATATGGCAAAGAAAAAAATCTCATTTTTTTTATCACTCCGGTGACCTCAAAGTAGAATCAAATCTCAATGAATAAAGTACAATACATATGATACAAACTAGCTAAATGCAACCTTGATAATGGATAATAATCTTCAAAAAAATCAAAGTTAAAATGAAATAAATTTAGCTCTTAAAATTTCATGGAGCTTTATGTGCCTACAATTTGCTTTAAACATAAGCATATGTTTAAAAAGGTTAATGAGGAGATAGATTTTGCTTTCAAAACAAACATTGTTTTTAATAAGGCAAAATACAAATATTTCAGACTCTGGGTGTCTTGGTTATAGGAATAGTGGTTTCTGAAGAGGTGTAATATTATAGCTACCAATCATAAACAGTATCGTAAATCTCAACTAAAAAATGAATGAAAAGTAAATTAAAAAATTAATTGTATAAAACTATAAACTATATTCTGATATTTCTATGATCAAATATTTAACTGCTCATAATTCTGATGAAAAATTCTAAGTTAATGTGAAATTTCCAAAAGCAATCAGGTAACCCATCAGAAAATGGTTTTAGCAACACCCAAGTATAAGTTACTGTCATCAAAATAGTGTGATAATAGGAAAGAAAAAGTAGAAGAGAGGAGGACTAATTTGTGGTTCACCTTATCTCCACCACAAGTAGGAAGTTCATTAAGACAACAGTTATATAAAACAAAAGACTATTAAGATGAGTTTTACAATCTCATCTTTTGATAATTTCAAAAACCATACTGTATGAGATTAGAGATTACATGTCAACAATTACTATAAAACAATCTTGGAGGAAAATTGAATATTTTCATATGTGCATGTCTATGTATAGCATGTGAAGACAAAGTGTGAGGTTGTAAGTGATAAGGCAAATATTAAGTGATTAACATTTGGGAAGACAGTAAAAAAAAACAGAAATTTATTTATTGCTCTTGTAATTTTTGTCTAGGTCTGAAACTAAAAACATTTAAATAAAAATTTTAAAACAAATTTTCTGGGACAAATACTATTTTCTAAATATGTTTAATATAAGGCATGGTACAAATAATGCAAATCCTAGCACAAGTGAAATGAGAATTGAGAGTAATAAGCTTTGTCAACACTATCACATACTTAATGGAATGAGTGCTAATTTTAAAGCACATAACTCAAATTCATATTACTGAATTCATTAATGACAATTATTAAACTGTCAATTATATAAGAGACCATAACATATTTATTCTAAAATCTTTAAAAAGAAAATAAAATACAATATATCTAAGTTCATAAAATACAATAACATATGCAAACAGCAGATGATTAATAATTTCTACCTCTCTCGGGGAAGAAAAGAGTGTAGCATGAGAGAGTGATAAGTGAGAAATTTTCTTTTTGTTATTATGAAAAATTTCAAGAATGTATAGTTGTACATTCACTTTCCAGCCCTTCCCACAAGTATTTTTAATTAAATTCCACAATCACGTTATTTCATAAATACTGTAATAAACTTCATTTACTGTGTTAGAGATATATTTGGAGATCTTTTGAGAAAGAGAGCTTATTCTTGCATTACAAAACAGCAGAGCTACTAAGTTATAAAATTAAAAACACCAAACACCAGAAACAAAATTCAAATTATATTCAAAAATTACACTCAAAATTTAAATTACATTATTTTGCTTAATTTCAGGACAAACAGACAAAAACTCATTATATCCTTTGCAGAAATGTAGAGAGCTAGGTTGAATCAAGACGACACAATTATGTCTGACTGGCTTCTATGAATGAAAAATTAAGTTTATGATTCATTACTTAGTCTCATTTTTATTTGACTCTTTCTTAGAAATGTTACATCATGCAAGAAAAGTACAAATGTAGGCTAATAATGTCTTTGCTATTCATAACTACTCATTAATTTATTTTAAAATAATCTAAAAGAGAAAAACGGAGGTCAAACTTCTGCACAAATTATACTGCTATTAAACATAGAGAATGAAAAAACCAAATTCAATAATAAGAAATATCAGCCAAATAATCTATATCATAATATATCTGAGATTTATGTTTGCTTTATTTTTCCTTTCTCCCCACCTTTTATATACCACAACCTCAATTTTATTCTGCATTAAGTAATAGCATCATATTATATCCAAACACCACTGCAACTTTAAAGGGCTAATTTCTGTGCCGTGATAAAAATCTGAATTTCAAAGTACTTTGTCCATGAAAATGAGTATTACTTCACAAAAGTGACTTCTGTAAATAATTTACATCCTAGCTAACTACTATTACCATACATTAACATAGCAGTCAAATAATTTAATCTACTCCTCTTGCTGGAAAAAACCTGAGAACTATTTGAAGCCAAGATGGTATTTTCTCCTAAATATCTGTACACAGAATTTTAAGACACCTATTCTATTTCAAATCAGCTTAAATCCTAGAATAGCCCATTCATGAAAATAACAAAAAACAACTTGCCCGTACATACATATTTTGGGGGGAAAAAACAGAATTATGTATTTATCACATAATTGACTAGCTAATAACTGAGACACAGTACTTTATTTGCAGGAACCCTCAAAGTAACGATTTTATATTCTTAGTAAGTAGAAATGTTTTAAATAGCTAAAATAAACTCAAATCACAACAGGTGAATCATCAAGTCTTTGAAGAAGTTAATAACCAATCTTGAGTAAAGCCCAAATTTTAGGACTGTGGCTTTTAAATATTACCCAGAATATTATGTTATCTTAACAATAATGACAGATCATTATATGTAAATTGTACCTCTACGAAGATGTTTTTGTTGTAAGTATTAGAAACATAGTGGTCATAAATTTTCTCCTTACTATCTGTCAGTCAAAAGTTGGGAGTCATTTTAAGTCCAAATCATGTGCTTAATCAGACAACCCAACAGGCAAGCAAGTACACACCCGAGAAGTAGCATCTGTTTTGTTTTTTGTTTTTATTAGCCAATACTACTTTTCACAACTTGTTGCTTTGTTTTTTCTATGGACCTATGTACCTGTTTGTATGTTTGTGCATATTCTATACCTAATACTTAATCTAACATTAAGTTAGATGAGAAATGAACAGCTTAAAATCATCTGAAGAAAAAAATGTTATTCTTAAGTATTCAATCCTCTAAAGTAGGTATTAAAAAGGTATCAAGCTTGAGGTCTTACCCTGTTCGCTTGGTGATGGTCCCCAATGTCATGGGCTGCTTGATTTGTGCAAGAGGCATCAAAACCATTAAGCTGGGGAGAGGAGAGAGCCGAGGGTTGCCAGGGTTGTTGTTGGCGAAATTATTATAAGAGTCTTGGCTGTTTAGTTTCCCTAAAGAGAAAAATAAAGAAAAGCATCACCAGGGGAAGTTTTCATCTCTAATAAGTTTTATTTGCACTGACTCTAATAATCTTTTTTAAAAGATATCAAAGGGAGAACTCATTCTGAAAGAATCAAGATCACACAGAAAGGAGGAAATCATAGCATACGGGCAACACCAAATGTGGCTTGATCAGCAACGGTGACTTAAGTGTTTGGGGAGAGAGGAATGAGGACAGAACTCAATAGCTATTCCATGGAAAACAGAAAGTCTAAATTAGTCTAGAGGCATCATGGAGCATTTTTGCAAACAATATTAACAGTAAGTAGGGAGAATATTCCAGCCACAGCAACCTGTAAAGGGCTGTGGTTGAGGAGGAAAAGATACATAAGGATGAGTATCCATAGAGAGTAGCATGAGACACACAGGCTGAACTGGCTGTGTTATATCCCATTATAAAATTAAAACACAAATCAACATACTTCCCTTTATTTTATACTGAACATTTAAATAAAAAGCATAACCATAGCTCACTAATACACAGGAAAACAAACTCCACTGAGGAATAAAATCTGATTTGCAGACAGAAAATTTACTTTCAGATCAACATTGAGCCAAGTTCCCTGGTTTTCCAAAATGTCCCATAAATGAAAGTATAAAAGTATGTAACTTATGGAGACTTCCTTAATTCACTTACCAATGAGAATCTGAGCCTCATCCACTCTACCAATTAAAACATCTCCAGGAGGCATTAATCCTGGAGATATATCAATAATTCTCTCCTATTTATTTATGATTATTACCCATAATCTGGAAGTACTGATTTTTTAAACCAATAATTAGTAAATAGATACTGATAGATATTGTTGTTACCTGCTTCTGGCTACTATCAATGAAGCTTCTAAAAACATTCATGTACCAGTGAGATACCACCTCACACCAGTGAGAATGGTACATCTTAAAACAACTAGCAACAACAAATACTGGCAAGGATGTGGAGAAAAAGCAACTGTCCTGCACTGCTGGTGGGAATGCAAACTAGTACAACCACTATGAAAACTGTTTGGAGGTCTCTCTAACTGTTAAAAATGGAGTTTCCTTATGACCCAGCAATCCCACTCCTAAATATCTACCCAAAAGACACAAAAACACTAATCAAAAAAACAACCACAACCCCAAGGAAAATGCTGCTTTATTTACAATTGGAAAAACATGGAAACAATCCAAATGCCCAAAAGTAGATGACTGGATTAAAAAGATGTGGTACAGGGCCCTCCCTGGTGGCGCAGCGGGTTAAAGCACTGCACAAAGAAGCTAAAGCCACTTCCACATGAGTTCGATCCCCGCCTGCCCTGGAGGTGACCACATGGCGCGGCAGACCTCTCCTGACCCGCCCGCTGCTCCCCTCAGCAGTGTACTTCGTCAATCTGCCTGTTCTGCTCCCCACTTTGTCTCTGGTGAATTCTCTCACCCTCTCCATATCTGGCCTGTACCCCAGTTCTGTATGAATAAATAAATAAAACAAAAAAAAAAAAAAGATGTGGTACATACACACAATGGAATATTACTCAGCAACCAAAATAAATAAATAAATAAACACATGCCATTTGCAGCAATATGTATGGAGCTGGAAAAGATCATGCTTAGTGAAATAAGTCAGAAAGAAAAGGAAAACTACTGGATGGTTTCACTCATAGCATGAGTATAAAGGACCAGATGAGCAAATAATAATAATAATGAACAACCTAGACCAGAGACATTTTATGGGGGTGGGATGGGGAATGGGATCAAAAATGGTGGGGGGAGGGAAGTACACTGGACTATGGTGATGGCACATGGGTGATTTGGTGATGGGAAGCCCACAGGGATTACAACTGAGATGAAAAAAGGCACAAAATGATCTAAAAATAAACTATTATAATATTTTTTTAATGTGCATACCTGTTTTTGTATTTATCAAGTTTTTTGACAAATAATCCACTGCATAGACATAATAATTACACAGGGTTATGAGAAAATGTGAAATATTTCATCAAAGAGAATAATTACAGTTCCAGTTGTACATCTTCATGCGAACATGTACATGGCTTTTCATTTTAGCCATTCTGGTTCGTACTTGAATTTCTCTAATGGCAAATAATGTTTAGCTTCTTTTGGGCTCATGAACTTATTTGTTATCCACAGTTCTTCTTTAGTATAATGGTTAATTCCTTTGCACATTTTATATAAAGGGTTAGTATTTTTATTCAGCTAAACTCATAGACCAGAGTATTCACTCTTTTAATGTGTGCAGTTCTGTGATAGGTAGTATAGAGTTGTATAACCATGACCACCATCTAATTTCACCTAAAAAAAGCTCATTAATTATCACTTTAAAAAAAAAAAAAGATTTATTTATTTATTCATATGGAACTGGGGTACAGGCCAGAGATGTGGAGGGTGAGAGGATTCACCAGAGACAGAATGGGGTGCAGAACAGGCAGAGCTACGAAGTACACTACTGAGGGGAGCAGCGGGCGGGTCAGGAGAGGTCTGCCTCACCATGTGGTCACCTCTGGGGCAGGCAGGGATCGAACTCATGCGGAAGTGGCTTTTTAGCTTCTCAGTGCAGTGCTTTAACCTGCTGTGCCACCAGGAAGGGCCAATTATCACTTTTTTAAAAGCACAACTTTGACAACAAGAATCTTCTTCCTTTTTCATTGATTTGTCTATCGTGGGTATTTTAGATGAGTGGAATCATACAATGTGATCTTTCGTGATTACTTATTTTCACTCAGATCTTTTCAAGGTTCACACATGTTGTGGCATGTTTTGGTAGTTCACTCCTTTTTTTTCCTAATAATATTCCATTGTATAGACATAACACTTATATCCATTTCTCAGTTGATTAATATTTAGGACATATGTTTACAAATTTGACAGTACATTCACCTAGGAATGTAACTGTTGAATCTATACTTAACATTTTTGGGAACTGCCGTACTGCAAATATCAGTACCTGAGATGCATGAGCAGTCCAATGTCTCTATGTCCTGAACACTTTTATTGTTTAGTCATCCTACTGGATGTGAAATGGTCTGTAATCACAGTTTTGAAATGCATTTCATGTATATTTTGGTAACTTTTTACATTCAGAGTGTATCAGAAACTATCGCCTCATTAAGAACACAAATATTTATGCCTGCATTTTCTCTGCTTCAGTTTAGCTCTCAGATCCATCTGAATTAATTTTTACAAATGGTGTGAAGTAAAGATTTGACTTTTTTATAAATAGTGAATAGCCACTTGTTCCAGCACTAGTGATCTCATATTCTGACACTGTGTTTTCTGGTGAGCCAGGGGATTAGTGTGGCACCTTTACTGAAAATCAAATGACTACTATAATGCATTATTTAGGGATTTCATTATCATTTTTTAAAGTTCTTTTTATATCCTGGATCAAAGCCCTTTGTAAGATATGTGATTTTCACATATTTCTTACCAGTTTTTAAATAAGTAAAAGATATTCTTTTCCATGTAGTTCATAGTTCTGTAAATGTATTGCTTCGTTCATGAACTAATTGGCTAATCTGAGGTCACAAAAATTTCACCTACTTTTTGTTATTTTATATTTTAAAAACACATTATTTGTGTTATGTAGCTGAGTTAATTTTTTGGTAATGTATGCGGTATGATTTCTTAGCATAATAATGAAAGAAAATCAAACAAAAGAAACTCAATGAAACAACATTTTACTGATGTTTACCATAACTGCACACATAAAGATTTAGGAGCATTTCTTGGAATATTACCTATAATGTTCTTGGAATATTACCTATAATGTCTACTATCCCAATAGTTGCTAATTTGAACCTAAGGCAAGACAGGATACATGACTATTTCATTTTTCTAATTTGTCTAAAGGCAAATTTTGACCTGTATTTTATTGAGTTCATGTATTGTACTAATTTATACTACTTTCTTAACATAAATAGAAATCATATGCAGAGACTAAAACGAAAAAGACCAAAAGGTCAGAAGAATAAATAATTAATTCTGGAGCAGAAGCACACATTTGGATGTCCATGATTTTCAATACAATTTGGTATTATCACTTTCTTGTATACAGATACAAAATTCAAACAAGCCACAAATCTCACAAAGAGAAGGGTGTTCTGAATGTCCTCTTCAAATACAAACCATACGAACAGAAAAATTAGATCTTTTTACTTGATTTTTTGAGTTTCTAAAAAAACTTTGAAACACTGTCAGACTGTGGATTAGGTTAACAAATGATGTCTTCTAAAGCAGACATTACAAAAACCCCTCCACGGTCCACATAAAACTCACTAAAATGATACTTTTAAAGCCCAAACAAACCTTCTTCAGTCAGTCTTTGCCAAGAAGGTATAATCATGTTGATGGACCTATGTAACAGGAAATCAGGTTTGTTTTTTGGTTCTGTTTTTGTTTTGTAAAGGGACTAAAGATACAAAAAGAATAGAGAATTCTCACACTGAATTTCAGTCAGTGGTTTGCTTTCCTTCTTTCAAAGGTCATCACATCAACAAAATGTACTGTTTCCACCTACATCTTGTAAATATCTACTAAGATATGAGCCTGGTATTACAATCGTGACCAGGATTGTGCTGACTCTGGAGATTAGATACAAAGCTGTGGTCATTTTAACAGAATTATCTTCAGATTCAAACATGGAAGTCTTTCCATTTATTTAGGAACTTTAATATTTTGGATATTATGCATATATTTAAGGGTACAAACTATACTTCTTTGGTTAAGTTTATTCCTATTTTATTCTTTTTAATACAACTGGTAAACAAAATTGTTTAATTTCACTTTTCAGTTTGTTCATTGTTAGTGTAGAGAGAACAATTAACTTTTCTACACTGACCTTGTATTACAAAATTTGCTGAACTTGTTTCTTAGCTTTAGTAGTTTCCTGGGAATTACTTAGAATTTACTACCTACATGATCATGTCATCCACAAAAGGAAGAATTTTACTTCTTCCTT